AAAAAAAAAAAAAAAAACTACTTTCTTGTAGACTAACCCGGTCTGCAGCTGATGCCCCTCCAGGCCCAGCAAAAATCGCTGGCACGCAAGAGGTCCCTGGGGGGGCGCTGTCCCAAGGGGAACTACAGAGCGATCAGCAGACTTGTTTGGTTTGGTCTGGTGTACTCACGCAGTGATTCGGTTTTGTTTGCACCTCTGGGATCCCCTCATGGAGATCCCATGGCGGTGGGATTGTCATTGGAGGCAAATTTGAAATTTGAATACAAGTACATAGCTGTGAGATTGTGACTCAGGGCAGACAGACATCGAGCCACTCTGTTAAATGCATGTGACGCGAATCACGGCCAGAGCCATTCGAACGAATTCCAAAGTTCGAATGCGTTGAGACGGTTACCTCAACTGGAATAGTTATATCCGCTCTTTTTCTTTTTGGGGGGTTTTTATTTTTCTTTCATTTTTGTCGTCTTCTGGATAGTTCTTTGCATGGCATGTCTCAGCTTTGGCTATGTGTCGTTTTGCAGCCTCACAAAGGCCAACAGTTCCATTGCTATGGGCCCCGCCACATTTTTTGTCTTGAGCGCATGTGGTGAGTAGTGGAGCGAGCCCTTTTACATAGCAGGACCCGACTATTGGCGTCGCTCCTCTACTCACCTTTGTCTTGAGCGCATGTGGCGAGTAGCGTCACGAGGCCCAGGACATAGCAGGACCCGATTATGGTCGTCGCTCCACTACTCACCTTTGTCTTGAGCGCATGTGGTGCGTAGTGTTGCGAGGCCCAGTACATAGCAGGACCCGACTATGGGCATCGCCCCACCACTCACCAAATGTGCAAAATGAGAATGAATCTTCCGCTAGAACATGGGAGATACATGGCCGTATTTTTTGTCTTTTGTGCATGTAGTGGAGCGAGGCTCGGTGCATAGCAGGACCCGGCTATGGGCCTCGCTCCACAACTCACCAAAATGAGAACGAATCTTCCACTAGAACATGGAAAGATGCGCCGCCATAGTACTGTCTTAAATCCACCTTTGGTTGGTTTTCCCCAAGGAGAAATGGACCTTCGGCCTCCTTTCATACGCCCTTCCCCTCCTCCATGAGGATGGTCTACAGGATTCATAGCAACACCACGAACAACGGGTCGTCTTTCTAACCATCTACTTTACCCTGCTTTCCTACAATTATGCTTTTTGTGGATGTGGTGAGTTGTGGATAGAAGCCCAGCGAGACCGATTTACTTATGTGTGTCATCCTAACGCAGGGACCATGCTATCACTCCAATTCTAATGGAGGTACCACAAAGGACCAGGACCCAAAGGACCAGGACCCAACAATTCGCAGCGACTCAGGGCATACTCACACTACGACTTCGACTTTTTTCATCTAAGCCCTGGACCCTGTTGCAGTCACGTTCAGCGGAACTTCATCCAGGTCTGGCCGTAATTTTGGCCAGGTGTTTCTAAGGAAAGTGCTCGTGTGAGTATCCCGTCACGCGGAATTCCAGCCCGGGTCTGCTTACGACGGTTTGACTGGTTCTCGCGGTAGAGAATTCCAGTGTGAGCCACATAGTGTCACCTGAGTCAGATAATACACTCAGCGTTCGTAGTACCGCCTAGCAGTGGTGAGTGCTTAATTGTGCCTGATTCTGACGATGTGTTTTTTTCTTTTTTTTGGGGGGGGTGGCTGTGTCTGTGTAGAGGTGGGACCACGTATGTTAGAATCGTCGGGTGCAAACAATATGGCCTGCCCCGCATGGCCCCCGGGGTCCAACGGTACCATCAAACTCTCGTGACAGTGTGCAGGCCATATAATTTCATGGACCCCATAACTATGTATCCCCCCCAGCCGTGGCTGCGACCCCGCGGTCAAGGCCGCGCGTTTGCAGACCTCCGCCCTCCCCCCCCGGCCTTTCCACCACACACACACACACACACACACACACACACACACACACACACACACACACACACACACACACATTCACACACGCGCATTTTTTTTTTTCTACGATTGATTGATTGATTGACTGATTGATTGATTGATTGGTGGGGAAGGGTTCCCCCCCCCTCCTCAACGCACACACACACACATTCACACACACATTTTTCAATGATTTTTGTGTATTCTTATCTTCGTTTTTTTTTTTAACAGTTTTCGTTTTTTATTTTTTTTAAATACCGAAAGAACAGCGGTTTGGGGAAAAACAAATATGGGGTTGTAGGGTTTGAGAAACCTTACAACCTCATATTTTTTATTTTTCTTTTCCCATTTACAATATGGGGTTGTAGGGTTTGAGAAACCTTACAACCTCATATTTTTTATTTTTCTTTTCCCATTTATTCGGCGGGGAAAATTCCCTGAAGGCCCACGGCCACGACCCAGCCGCGGCCGTCTGCGGCCGCAGTTGAGATCCCAACCGCGGGCCGGAATCGACCCCGCGGTTGCAACTGCGGGGGACATGCAGCCCCATAACGGTCTGCGGCCGCAGTTGAGATCCCAACCGCAGGCCGGAATCGACCCCGCGGTTGCAACTGCGGGGGACATGCAGCCCCATAGCCCTGCCAAGGGTGGGGTTGGAACTGGGCCGCAGCATTGCCGCGGCGGATCCACTTGTAACGGTTCAAGTAACCTAAAGCAAAAGAGTAGAGAAATTGATGAGGGGAGTATATTGCGCATCTTGTCTGTAGGTCTCTGCTACGCTTTGTGAAGAGGTGCGTCATTTGAGAACATGTTTCCTGACCAGACTTCATGAAATTATGAAGTCTTCAGCTCTCTCAGAGTCCATGACCTGCCATCTTCACCCAAACAGAAGGCCTGGTCCTTATAGCTGTATTTGGGGCAACTTTCAGTCTACATACGGCGATAATGACAGGGCATTATATTCGCGGTGAAGACAGAAGTAACATTTCCCTCTGTATTGTCCTGTCGTGCAAAGTTGGGCATTTTTGTTGTTGGCTTTGTCCTTGACTCCTTGCTACTGTGCTGTTTTCCCTATGTTCGAAAATCAGAAGTCGGGAGTCAAACCCAGCCCTGACCATTCAAGAAAACAACCGGATCCGCCATGACTCCGCCTGCACCCCTGATGACATATTGCAGGGATGGCCGGGTGCAGCCCAGTGAACAGCGCAGAGAAGCACAGCCTCTCTCTCTCTCTCTCTCTCTCTCTCTCTCTCTCTCTCTCTCTCTCTC